CCGAGATTTTTTCGGAATCTGGAACCCATTCTGGTGCAGTTTGAGACATAAAATACCTATCATTTTCATATTTGGCTTGTAGTATTTTTTTTCAAAGGCGTAATAATTAGTTCCATATGAACAAGGAACATTTTCTTTAAATAATCAATAAAAGAAACAAAATCAATGAGATAATGATTTCACTGAGGGCCCAGGATTATATGAGTTGTTAAAGTTTATCACATACAGTTCTACGATGTGATCCTTGTTAAAAGTATACTTGAAAAAATTACGTGGAAGCCCGTGCGTCCGTGCGTACGCCTGGTTACGTCCCTGCCTATGTAAAAAAAGACGTTCTTACCCAGACAGTTTCAGTGGCGGATCCAGAGGTTGTTTTTTGGGGGGCTTCAGGAAACCCCCACCCTGATAGTTTTCCTTAAAATAACGTATTTTCTCAATGTTCCTCAATTTCCCCCCACTTGGAAGTGTGCTCTTTGTATTTTCAATTTCAAAAGTATTTTATTGACAATACATATATAATACAAACATATAAGTTAACATTAAAGAAAATATTAGAACAGTATTGACAAAAGAATAAGACAACAGGCTTTTCCTATATCAGTCTTCTTCTATTTCCGGTAGCTATGTACAATGCTTAAATATATAAAATGTTGTAATTCGTTTTCCTCTCACACACATGCACACCCACACCAGCTTATGTCTAATACTCGTTATTTAAGGGACAAAACTTGCCATAATAATAATAATAATAATAATAACAATACATGAATATTCATTTGGAATTTATCTAGCACGTATAAGTAACGAAACGTTTTGATGATTTAATATAAGAGTCAACATGTAGAAGAATAGTTTTATCTAATTGGTCCGATGTATTACTAATACCATATACTAAACAGTGCAGATTTAGATATCCTAATAGATTATAAATAGTGGTAATATGATGCCTAATATTAGAATACAGAGGACATTGAAAGAAAAAAATGTATTAGATCTTCCCTCTGTACACCACATACACAGGAAGCATCATCAATCAGATGATCTTGTGACTTATCACAGTTAAGATCACTTTTAAAATTTCTTAGCTGACATAAAATGATGTTAAGTTTCCTCGGAACACAGTTAATAAAAGTTTCTGAGACAGATGTGTCAAAGTTTTTTTAAGTTTCTTTTTAAAAGATGAAATTGAGATGGAGTCTCGTACAGTGCTATCAAGTGCATTCCATTTTACCATTGTAGAAGGGAAGAAGCTATTCATCCAAGTAGTAGTTCTTGTCTGTGGTAAATTTAAGAATCTGTTATTTCTGAAGGTATAGTTATCAATTACATTTAGAAATGGTTGAATGACATTATCGAGAGAAGTTGGAGTGTAATTATTAAGAATCTTATACATTAATGTTAGTTTATGGCTTTGTCTCCGTGTGTGTAATGTTTCACGTTATGTTTCAGTATACAGAATGTGATGAGATGTACCTCGTCTGAGGCCAGTAATTAAACGCATAGCTTCTAGTTGAACTGATTCTAAAAGATCTGATTCAGATTTGGTATAATTATCCCATACTATATCAGAATATTCTAGCACATGTCTTATATAAATGAGACATATAATGTTTTTAATGAATTACTGTCAACTGTAGGTTTTAAAATTCTAAGAATACTTAGTCTAGAGTTCGCTTTTTTTTTTATAAATATTTGAAATGTGATCTGACCATGTCCCTTTACTGTTAAATGTTAGTCCTAAGTGAGTATGGTGTTCATGTTGTGCAATTGGAGTATTGTTAAATAGCAGTTGAGGACGATTGTTAATGTGTCTACGAGAGAAGTTAATAGCTACAGTCTTATTCGGATTGAATAGGATCTGCCATTGCTTTGACCAATCTTTACCTTGGTCTAAATTACTACTTATAGTATTATAGATATCAGCTAGTTGATTAGTAGTGGAGCCTTTGGGTTGAAATCCTGACTGATGTACACTTAACATATTGTGACTTGAAATATAATTAAACGTATATTTAAAAATATTTTTTTCTAACATTTTAATAAAAAAATAGATGTAATAGCAATAGGTCTATAATTATTGAGTTCTTTGTATGTTATGCGTCTCTGCGAATTCTGATGAAATCGCATTTGAGCGGAAAAAAACTAATCTTTAATTTCCTCAACTGGTACATGAAATACGACGTTTATATTAGTTTTTGTGAGTAATAGAGAAAAATGATTTCATATCCAAGAGGTTTTTTCAGGGATTCTCAAAACCAACTTGAGTCAAGAAACAAAATTCTGTGAAGTTAAACAGTGACTTATATACATGACATTGTTTCTGAAATCCTTTCATATTCAAGTGGGGGGGTTTCCCGGAAATTAATATTATGATTCGCAAAAACGAGTGAAGAAATCAAATTTTGTGAAATTAGACCGCGACTGTTCTCGATACTGCTTAATAAACGACGGCATCTGAAATGCATTAAAACATAAATTTGAATGTTAAGCAAAAAATTAGTGAAATTAGCCCGCAGATAGGCTTTATATTATGACTCCACTTCCCTACAATAAGGGTACGTACCTGTTATGTTAGATCTCCGACAGCGGTGGATGGTAGTGAAGCAGACGGAGAAAGGGTTATACTTTAGTCACATACACACAGATAGGTAGAAGGGTCATTTACCTGGACTATTTCAGCATATCAGTTTAGTTTAGAGGATCGCATGATCAGAGGGACAAAGTCCAACCTTATGTCACACTGCATGGTGTGTTTAGGGTCTCTTCAGTTTAATAGACATCATGTGTGTATCTGGTCACTGACTTTTAATTGACACGGAAAGTGTAGGTGGTCATTTACTTTTAACTGGCATTATGTGTGTAGGTGGTCAATTACTTTTAATAGGTGAAGTGTGTGTAGGTGGTCACTTACTTTAAATTGCCATTATGTGTGTAGGTGGTCAATTACTTTAAATAGGTATAGTGTGTGCAGGTGGTCACTTACTTTAAATTGGCATTATGTGTGTAGGTGGTTAATTACTTTTAATAGGTATAGTGTGCGTAAGTGCTCACTTACTTTAAATTGGCATTATGCGTGTAGGTGGTCAATTACTTTTAATTGGCATGGTATGTGAGTGGGTGGTCAATTACTTTTAATTGGCATGGTATGTGAGTGGGTGGTCAATTACTTTTAATTGGCATGGTATGTGAGTGGGTGGTCAATTACTTTTAATTGGCATGGTATGTGAGTGGGTGGTCAATTACTTTTAATTGGCATGGTATGTGAGTGGGTGGTCAATTACTTTTAATTGGCATGGTATGTGAGTGGGTGGTCAATTACTTTTAATTGGCATGGTGTGTGTGTAGGTGGTCACTTACTTTAAATTGTCATTATGTGTGTAGGTGGTCAATTACTTTTAATAGGTGAAGTGTTTGTAGGTGGTCACTTGCTTTAAATTGCCATTATGTGTGTAGGTGGTAAATTACTTTAAATAGGTATAGTGTGTGTAGGTGGTCACTGACTTTAAATTGGCATAATGTGTGTAGGTGGTCAATTACCTTTAATAGGTATAGTGTGCGTAGGTGGTTACTTACTTTAAATTGGCATTATGTGCGTAGGTGGTCAATTACTTTTAATAGGTATAGTGCGCGTAGGTGGTCACTTACTTTAAATCGGCATTATGTGTGTAGGTGGTCAATTCCTTTTAATAGGTGAAGTGTGTGCAGGTGGTCACTTACTTTAAATTGCCATTATGTGTGTAGGTGGTAAATTACTTTAAATAGGTATAGTGTGCGTAGGTGGTTACTTACTTTAAATTGGCATTATGTGCGTAGGTGGTCAATTACTTTTAATAGGTGAAGTGTTTGTAGGTGGTCACTTGCTTTAAATTGCCATTATGTGTGTAGGTGGTAAATTACTTTAAATAGGTATAGTGTGCGTAGGTGGTCACTTACGTTAAATTGGCATTATGTGTGTAGGTGGTTAATTACTTTTAATAGGTGAAGTGTGTCTAGGTTGTCCCTTACTTTAAATTGCCATTATGTGTGTAGGCGGTCAATTACTTTAAATAGGTATAGTGTGTGCAGGTGGTCACTTACTTTAAATTGGCATTATGTGCGTAGGTGGTCAATTACTTTTAATAGGTATAGTGTGTGTAGGTGGTCACTTACTTTAAATAGGTATAGTGGTGTAGGTGGTCAATTACTTTAAATAGGTATAGTGTGTGCAGGTGGTCAATTACTTTTAACTGGCATTATGTGTGTAGGAGGTCAATTACTTTTAATAGGGATAGAGCGTGTAGGTGATCACTTACTTTAAATTGGCATTATGCGTGTAGGTGGTCAATTACTTTTAATTGGC